GAAGAAAGAGGACGAGGGGAGGGGGAAAAGGAGGGAGAAAGAGGACGAGGGGAGGGGAAAGAGGAGGGGGAGGGAAGAGGAGGGGGGGGAAGAAGAGTGGATGAGGAGGAGGACGAGGGGAGGGGGAAAGGGGGAAGAGGGGGAGAAGGAGGGAGGAAGAAAGAGGACGAGGGTAGGGGGAGAAGCAGGAAGAGCAGGGGGAAGAGGAGGGGGAAGAGGAGGAAGAGGAGGAGGGAGGGCGAGGGGGAGGGGAGAGGCCGAACGCACAATAAGGTAAAACGTCAACGAGTAACTGCAGCCAAAAGACAGACATCCGATCACTTTCCAGCAATCACAGACAGGAGATCGAAGCAGCTGGCAGGAGTGCCTGATGGAAGAAGTCTCCCTGCTTGGGGTCCTGGTTTACAATATATTAGCTTAATTTTTATCTACAGTGAAAGTGCAAAATGTCTTGACCGCTGGGTGTTTTTCTTGTTTTAAAAAAAATAGTTTTCGTAAGTGTTTTACGACACTTGCAACACAATAAGGTCAAATAAGTGCCGAAGAATAGAGGTGTTACAAAAGAGTAACAAACAAAAAAGAAGGAGGGGAGATAAGGATTATAGGTGTTTGATAGGAAAGAAAGAGTAAACCACACCAGAGCACCCGCCAACCACCCACTGACTGACTGCTGGTTTTGACTGTAAGGGATCATCAAGCTTTTGCTGTTGTTGTTGTTTCAGTGAAGAGAAGCAAATCGACCCAATATATTATATATTCAGCGGTACAATAACCAAAACTCCTAAAGGCTGTGAACTGTGTTGAAGTCAAAATACTTTCAGTGCCCAAGACTGAGTCAATTATTCAAAATGTGTTTTAACATTCAATAGGTGTTTTATCTGTGAGTAACCTGAAAGACCAGAGTGTGTGTGTGTGTGTGTGTGTGTGAGAGAGAGAGAGAGTGGTACGTTATAGTTTTTTGTTGGGAAGGGAGGGGTGGGGGGGAGGATGGTAACGAGACAGAGAGAGGGGAGGAGGGGTGGAGACAGACAGATATGCAGACGGACAGAGACAAACAGATAAAGAATGCAACACAGAAACAGACAAAAAGAGAAACAGGATGAAAGCGAGAAAGAGAGGGAGACAGGGGGAGCGAAAGGGCTAGCTGGAACGAGATTCTCAGTTGTATATACTAGAAGTTAGAACAAGCGTTAGTTCAAAGTGCTTGCTCCACCAACCACTTCAAAGAGCCAAGACCAGACGAAAAGATTGGGACCTGTTACATGTCAGAACCGTCCACGTTTTCACTGTTTTTTCGGCTTGTTGAAGAAAAAAAAGAGGCAATAGCAAAGTTCGTTTGCTGCTACAGCTGAAAACGGACCCTAATTGAAAACACAATAGAAAAAGAAAAGCGATCAAAGCCAGCCACAATTTCAGGGGGAGAGAAAATCAAATTTCAAAGTTCAAATCTGATCAATTTTTGCACACTAGTCTTTTAAAAAGGGGTCTCTAACACAAGACTAGACCGGTTGTTCTGTTCTATACTTGATTTCTTTTTTCCTAAGAAATACCCTACATGGAACTTGATAACCCACAAAAGCAGCACTTTTTCATTTCAATAATTTTGAGTTTGTGACTGTAATTGTATTGCCACACCGACAGACAAAAAGACATACAGACAGACGTAGGGACAGACAGACAGACAGACAGACAGACAGACAGACAGACAGACAGACAGACAGACAGACAGACAGACAGACTGACCCAACAGTCACTGAAACACAAACACAAAAACCACAGACACACAACAGTCATTGACACACAAAAGTCTCTGACACACACAAGTCACTGAAACACAAAAGCCACTGACACATAACAGTCACCGACAGACATAAAAGTTACTGACACACAACAGTCACTGACACACAACTAGGCTCAAACACAAAGGCACTCACCCTTTAGGACAACTTTCTCCAGCTCTTGAACTTTCTTCCCCAGAGCCTGTGCCACGGCCGACGCTTGCTGAACCAGTTGCAATCTGGAGTATATAATAACAACAAGACCTTTTAGGACACACATATGGATTAATGCATCAAGGTACAACACATTTCTGAGAGGGTAAGATCTGTCAGGAACATTTTGTGAGTGTGAGTTTTGTTTTGTTTTTAGTAAGAGTTTTATTGCACTTGCAACACTAATAAGGTCATTCTAGTGCCCAAGAGTAGAGGTGTTACAAGAGAGTAACAAATACAAAAAAAAGAAAAAAGAAATAAGGACGATGGTTGTTTTAGCTTAGTTTTAGTAAAAGTTTTACGGCACTTGCAACATAATAAGGTCATATTAGTGCCCAAGATAAGAGGTGCTACAAGAGAGTAACAAACAGAAAAAAAGACAAAGGAGAGATATGGACGATGGGTGTATTTGATAGTAAAGAATGAGCAAACCACACCACAGTGACCACCACAGTTTTAGTAGGCTTGTAAGACAAATAGTATAAAACATTGTAGAAATGCCCATGGTTACTGTGATTCTACAAATTTTGCATTGCATAAAAATTTGACTGAACAAAAAGCTTGAAATTTTCAGGGCCAAATTTTTCTTGTCTTTGAGCGTACTTTCCCAACAAAACAGATGTGAGCACAATAAGAGCCCGGCCACACTGACAAAACATACCTCTGAACACACGTCCTTATCTCTTGACCTGGGTCCTCCCCATCCCCACTGGTAGAAAACCAGAGCGCATGGGTAAGAGCCTGGGGGTTGTGGCTCAAATCCCAAGGCAGCTCCGACATGAGGGCTTGAGCTGGAAATGGGGGGAGGAGGAGAGGGACATATATTTTAAAATTTGGTCAATTTAATGGCACAACTATTTCCATAACATATCAGACGCAGTGACAAAAGTATGTTAAACAATTAAATGCATAAATAGAAACATCACTTGAATTTATCAGATCATAAATTTAGGCTGAAACAGGACTTAAAGATTCACTGTCCGCTAAATTACACAATTCAAAGGAAACTATGAGACAAACTAGACAGCAACAATACAGATTCAACAGAACAAAAGAATACAAGGAATCTTAAAGTTCTCAATACAGTGTATATGTACCCCACATCATCACAATGTGGTTTTTCATTGGTTGAGTAGATGTTTTACAGCACTACAGACACAATTCACAGTTTCGACCATTTAGGAAACAGACAGCATCAACCCACCCAGTCACAGCAAACTTGGGCTGAATGTTTAGCAAACCAGACGCAAACAAATAGACAGACACAAGAGAGCTTCAAGACAGAAAAAGCCTCTCACCAGCCGAGGAGGAAGAAAACATCCTCTCCACAGCGGCCTGCAGATCCCGCCAAGCCGAAGACTCGAAGACATGGGCAGAACTGCCGCTCAGGACAGCTCTCACATCCGCCAGCAGCGCATCCACTTCCTCCTTCTCCCGGCCCTCTCCCACACCAGCGGCCAGGGCTGACTGGAAACTGGGCCACACTGTGTCCAACCACTGGCCGAGCAGGGAGTGACCTGGTTCTGACAGTAAGGACTGGACGATGCCGGCAGCAGTACACAGCTGGACTCGAACTGCAGGCACATCAGAACTGAGGAGACCATAAATAATGACAATGACAATGACAATCTATATTCATCTCACAGGGACAAATTTGTCTTGGTCGTTTACGATGGCAGTAGAATGTTTCAAAGGTTAGGCGCACTCAATAAAAGGGAATGGAGCTTTTCTTTATAAATGATTTTAAAAATCGGTAATAAACATAATTTACCATAAAGGTATAACAACAAAGGGAACAGCAGGCAGATTTGCCGTACATGACCAGACATCTTATCTGGCTCACTACAGGAGCTAAGAGCACACAGAGTTAGCCATGTATGTAAAAGCGCATTGAAAAGTGCAGGTCATCTCTCACCATGGTCGTATTGGTTTGATGTTACCCAACTCCTTGCCACAGCCGGCCTCCATCTTCCCCAGTCCCTGCTTCGATGTATGAGCTTTTATTAGAAAGTTTTATAGCACTTGCAACACAATAAAGTCATGTAAGTGCCAAAGATTGGAGGTGTTTCAAGAGAGTAACAAACACAAAAAGAAAGAGGAACGAAATGGGCGATAGATGTTTGATAGGAAAGAAGGAGCAAACAACACAATAGCACCTACTAACTACCCACTGCTTTGATGTATTACTTCATGAAGTTGTAGACCATAAGGACAGACCACTTTATTGTCAAAAACCACAAGAACTGTCACAACACGGAATGAAACATGATCAAAGTAAAAAGAGAGCAACTGCAGGAAGTCTTCTGCCTACCTCTTGCTGGCAGCAGCTTCCTGTATCTGACTGAACAGGAAACGAGCGTTGGCCTTGAGCTGAAGCATCCAGCTGCTCTCCCCTGGCACTGCCTGGCTCCACAACATCAGAGTCTTCTCCCCCTGACCACTCTCCTGCAGGAGCTGCAGGCATTCGGAGATGGCAGCTCGCAAGTGCTGAAACAAGCACACATACCCAATAGTATCTCAAAAACTAAGGAGCTCAACACACTCAACATCCACCTTTTAAAATCATTTTGCTAATCAAACTGAGAAGATTAGAAGACACAAAAAGTACAGACAACACCTTTTTCACTTTCAAATCACTTGATTACCCCATTGATTCGTCTCCTCTGTTTGCTACCATTAGAATCACAAAAAAAGAACTAACTTCAGCAATCATTTGTTACAGTAAAGAGAAGAATACTGACACAATAAGCATTATTTCAGACAAGGAAAAAGCAAGAACCACAGACACAACACAGAAAGAAAAGAAATAGGGCCTACGAGTGTCACCCGAGAACCACTTGTATTATTTTTAACTGTTAATACTATTCACTCATTATCATAGAAAGCCCAACTGCAAAAAGAGAGGTCAGACTTCACTGAGAAGACCAAATTTCCAAAAAAAGCAAAAAACAAAGTCACACCACTGAATAAGAAAAACTACCTTTTTCAACTGCAATGTGCTCCGCGGACTGACATAAACATCCTCCATGGCATGGCGGAAAGCCTCACACTTTGTCACTCCACGCTTGACCAGCAGAGAGCAGGAAACGGCCACCTGCAACATGTCCACTATAGTGAGGCGGTCACCACGAGGCAACGTTGCCTGAAGGGTCATGTGACTATCCAGCAGCCAGGAACTATCACGGGGATCCTCCAGACCGGAATCTTGTAGGAGGTGCAGAATGTCTTGTCTGTCTAAAGAAGAGCCGTCCTCCTGGAAAGAAAGAAATTTAAAAATAATCAATATTTTTGGGGGTTTTGTTTACCAAAGACCTGTATGTGGCATCGAGCTCACATGATATTGGATTATCAACCATATTTACAAGGGGGGAGGGGGCGGGAGAGAAAAGAAAAAAAGAAATATGGAAAATAAAATAACGTTTTGAAAAAGACACAAAGAGTGACTAAAATCTTCCACCCTGCTGTTTGTCTGTCTTGTTTTTCCCAGCATTAACTGGCCGTTGCAGTGTCAAAGTATTAATCTTTACTCAAACAAAAAACTCATAACACACCGAAGAAGGGAAATGTCTTAACAATGATAACAGAAAAATCTGTAATGAGTAAAATAAGCACCAACCTCGCCTAGAATGTAAATCTCAATGCCTCTGTTCCTCATGGCGCGAGATATCTCTCCATATCGGGGGTCCATTGCAAAGAAAAGTCTGAAAAAAAGCACAGCGGAGAGTAGAGCAATAAGTGTATTTATTTTATTTATTCTGTGAAAATAGACAAATAAATACTTTTTGAGAAAGGATCTGTCTATATTGATAATGCAAAAACTGGCCGTTCAAAATTCTTTTTCGATTTGAAAAAAAAAAAGAAAAGAAATATCATTGATTTTGCATAATCTTTAGGGGACTACTTCAATAATATTCTTATAAAATGTATGGATAATGTCCAAAGTCAGTTTTTACAGACTGCTCCGACTAAGTTTTATCCTCTTCTGGATCAGGAAACTGACATGAAAGACTAGCACACATATCACAATAAATAAACGACACATAATATAAATGGTCTGGTACAGTTAACAAAGAGTGCCACATTATTCACAGAGATAAAATAATAGAACACATGATATATAAGTTAAGTAAGTGACCCATAATGTAAATCATCTGAAATAGTTGTAAAAATAAAAACTGCATCATTTAAAGACAAAAATGAGAATATGTACAAACAATACAAGTAAATGAAAACACAATATAGATAACATAAACTATTAGTAAAAAAGAAAGAGGCACGTTATTCCCAAAAGCGTCCCTCACCTGAAGTTTGGGTGTGGTTTTATGCTGGGGATCTGTCCGTCCACCGTTCCTCTTTCGTTGATGCTGAGCTCTCCGTGTGGCTCCAACAGAGCGTTCAGTCGGTCCAGCACCGAGGCACTGGGAACAACAACAACTCTTTTAAAAACAGTTCTTGAAACATAAAAACAGCACTTTCAAAAACAGCTTTCTAAATACTAAAAGAGCACTTTCAACAACAGCTCTTTAAACACAACAACAGCACTTTCAAAAAGTTTTTTAAAGACAAAAACAGCTTTTGAGAAATAAAAACAGGCACTTAAAAAACAGCACTTTCAAAAACAACTCATAAACATAAAATAGCATTTTCAAACACAATGCATATTGCCCTCAAAAACAGCTCTTAAAACAAACAACAACAAAAACCGTTAATTTAAAAAAAGTTATTTAAACACAAATAAAAACACTTTCAAAAACACTTATTTGATGTAAGAACATCATCTTAAGAACACAAAAAAACCCAACTAACTTCTACACAACAGACACCAGTCAAAATGCTAGTATATACAACTTTTACCTGCAAAAGTTGACATTGTCCACCAGGAGCCAGTGACCATCCCTGACCGCCTTGACCAGCATGCTGTCCACCCACTCAAACATGCCCCCTCGGCCACTGGGCCTCAGGCTGGATATAGATGAGGTCAGACTGGCCAGTCGTTCCTTCAGCTGGGAGAAACTTGCTGGAAAAATTGTTTTACGAGACAGAAATCATATGAATTAAAATCATTTTCCCATTTACAACATTTTAAAAAATATGTAAGTACTATACTTTCACAAATCTCAGGTGTGTCCAGACAATCTAAATACAAATAAAGTTGTACTCAAAGAGGTTTATATATAATACTAGAGCTCACAGCAGTGATGCCACACGTGTCAGACTTGAGGGCCTTCTTACCCTCTTCAGCATGGGCGGCGTGCCCCAATTTAAAAGAACAATCTGAGCCCCCATTTACATGAACAATCTGAGCCCCCATCCCGCTCCCCATGGGCTCTAGTATACTAAACACCACCCTGCCCCCATATTTCAGTATAAGCATGTAGATTCCCTCCCTAAGACCACTGAGACGCCTCCACATGAGTCTAAAAAAATACTCATCCGCATCAGCCCCCATGCTTTTATGTGGCAGAACATCACTGCTATGAACTCCAGCACCGAATATAACTGTAATAACCTCTTTGAGTTGCACCACTTTGAGTTGCACCATTTTTATTAAAAAACATGCTCAAAAGCTTTAGTCTAAGCTTTCAGAACTACCTAGAGGAAGCTGCACAATTATTTTTTTTCTGGTGGCATCCAGAACATTCAAGCTTCATGAACTATATTAACATCTGAAAAAGTCCCTTCTGCATTCAAATGCAGTATAATTCTAGTCTAAATGACAACTTCAATGACCAGACAGGAATATCTGCCCCACAATAAAAAGCCTGATAAAATAATAATGTTTTAAGCTAACTATGAAAATAAAATTGATCTCAAAAAGAAAAATTCTTCTTATTCATGCACAAAAGCAATTTTTCTCTAGCCTTATTTGCCTTTTCACTTGTCTTTCAGTCAGTCGTCTTTTTCTTTTAAACATCATAACTGCAGTTCGTGGAAGGCATAAACACAATTTAAAACATGAACAAACCATCCTTGCCTACCACAGTGTATCACTCTCTGATCAAAGTAAAGCTAACCCTCTTTTTATTAGTTTACTTACCAGAAGTCTCTGTCCTCACTCTGTCCATGAGGTCCACCACGCTTTGCAAAGTCTTCGCCAGCAAGCTCAAGGTTTCCAACTCTTCTTTTCCCGATAAGTTCTCTGTACAGAAAAAAAGTTACAGATATTTTCCATGCATTCTTAAGAAAAAAAACCCAACAAATATTCAAAAAGTTTGTCATTCCCCAGCACTGAAATATATCAATATCAAATCTAACTATTTAACTATTTTTCTGTATAAAGAGAAGCGAAAAAAAACACATTTTAAAACTATCATTAATTATGAAAATCTCTTCTTTTAATGTGTCAATTATCTACTGCTATCAAAGGTCCCTTTTAATCATCCTCACTGAATTATAATCAAACAAAAACGAGAAAGACATGCAAAGTGAGTCGTAACATTTACCAAAGATATAAAAACAAATGTGATATATGGTGTTGAGCACAAATGGGCCATTTCCCAGGAAGTGTATTTTACAGGAAAGGCTAAAAACTTTGATCATACTATCAAAGACCCCCCTTCAGTTCATATTGCATTTTAAAGTTTCATGCGTTTGTATATTCAATGAATTTCTATTCAATTTATTGACAAGATGAATTTAACCGTGCTTTACAATAGTTTTTTAAAAAAGCTTTAAAAAATGTTAGAGTTAACCCATTTGCGCCTGATACCATCGCTATGAGAACAGTAAACTGACCAGGCTCAGAGATGGCGGTGTAGCGAGACCAGGCTTCCTCTAGACAACGGAGTTCATTCATGTCCTTGACTCCCCGTCCCAGCAGACAACGACGCTCAAGGTCACGTAGCTCCACCTCCACAAGGTCAGCCACTTCACTCACATGTCGCCATGGGTCACTCTGGCGAGACAAGAAGACACAAAAAATAAATGATGGGCTGGTGCTTTTTAAATACAAGTTCAGGATTGGTTATCTTTCCAGGTTCATAACTGACAATTTTTTCCCAACCATTTATTCCCCCCCCCCTCTCCCCCCCCCCCCCCCCACGCATATATATGACTTGCAGGTTTTCCTTCTTGTGCGTGACTGGCTGCTTTTCCAAAAAAAATACGTTTGTGTTTCTATGAATCGCTTTTTTTTTTGGGGGGGGGGGGGTATGCTAACAGAGCTAACAATAAAGGTGTCTTTCACAAATCAGTTTTATTCACTCATTACAATTGCATAAAACAGTCATTTCCATGAATGTTAGGCAAGGGGAACATAAATCAACCGCTCATAAAAACCCAAACTTAACGTTTTATCAAGACTAAAAGCTCACGAAAAGAGCATGTTTTACAGCATGCTAATTTTAATTTTGAACTAGCAGTGTCATTGGAAATGATTTACTCAAAGAGGTGGAAGGGTGGGGGGGGGGGGGGGACACAAAGAATAGACCATTTTATTCTTCCACATGTTCAAAAATGGAGATACAAAAACAGTTTGTTTACGAAGAGGGAAAGACGTTCTATTAGTGTGAGTGTGTGTGTATGTGTGTGTGTGTGCGTGTGCGTGTGCGTGTGCGTGTGTGTGTGTGTGTGTGTGTGTGTGTGTGTGTGTGTGTGTATGTAGGAAAGGGGGGGTGGATACAGAAAGACAGGCAGCAGAAACAACAGAGGAAACTAAGAAAAAAAGGACTTGGCATGAGTGACGCCTGCAACCAGCCATAAAATAATGGTGAACAAGAAATCTTTTCATATTACAAAAACGTGCACTTTAATCCTGCAAAGGTTTTCAAACTTTTAAAGTAAATTTTGCAGCTTTTACAACACGATTGGGTCATATAAGCGACGAAGTTAAGGCGTATCATGAGAGTAACAAACACAAAACATAGAAGGAGATATAAGAACACAATAGATGTTTTAGAGGAAAAGACGGAGTAAACCCCACCAGAGCACCCGCCGACCACCCACTTCAAATTTCAAAGTTCGTTGCTATAGTCCAAGAGAAGCTGAAAAGGTAGCTTTGGGGAAACGCATAAAGTGGCACATTACAAGGGCCACCAATCCAAACACTATCTAGGCTCGATGGTGCTTGCCCTGGCCTCGACGTAGCGTGGGCGGACCTCTTCACCACACTGTGTCATCAAAAACTGGGTTTGATCAGGGGAAACCAGAAAATTTCATTACGTGTGGAAGGTTAGAGATGAGTTGTACGTACGGCGAGTCGGCGAGAAAACAGACATTTCTCTATGTAAGAGAAACAAGTAGCCAATAGCTTAAATTTTTTTTAATATAGTAAGTATTTTACGGGACTTGCAACACAATAGGGTCATATAGGTGCCGAAAATTAGAGGCGTTGCAAGAGAGTAATAAACACAAACAAGAAGGAGGGGAGTTAAGTTTTAGTTTTAGTACGAGTATTACGGCACTTGCAACACAAAAGGGTTATATAAGTGAAGAAGATTAGAGGTGTTACAAGAGAGTAACAATCGCAAAAAAGAAGGAGAGGTCAGGACGATAGATGTTTGATAGGAGAGAAGAAGCAAACCACACCAGAGCACCCGCCAACCACCCACACACTACTTTCCTGAGTATAACCCCCCCCCCATTTTTCTTCCGTACAGGTACATTCACGCAGGAAGGCGGCAAAGACCAATCTCTGGACAAAGACATAAAAGAAAATCTGGACGAGCACACCTAGTCAGGAACAAACTACATTTAATGTAGCTGTTTTTATTGAGCAAACAGAACCACATCGACACATTAACAGTTATTTAGGGCCGGAACAAAGCAAGAGAGACAGACAGAAACAACGGAGCGACAGAAAAGAAGTTGGCTCCCAACCACCACCCGCGCAGAGAGAATAGAGAGGCTTACAACAAGGCGGAAAAGATGTGAAAAGGCTGGCAACACAAGAATGGACACCAACCACCTTCTCATTTGAGAGCAAACAATCAAACAAACAAACAAACAAACAATGCACGATTGTCAGTCAAGTTCACTAGTCTCCCCGCCAATTGCAGCCGAGCAGAACAGCACAAGGACTGACTACGTCACAACGGGGCGAAACAACGCAAAAGTTGACTACGTCACAGACGGGAGAACAACACACTAGTTGACTACGTCAAACCGGTATCCATAGTCACGAACAAGCTACAGTAGGCTAATTCTTTTTCCAAGGGAGGACAGAATTCCATTAGGCTACAGTAGGCACTAATTCAAATGCCTTTGTTTGTTGAGTAGATATAGACATCGACATAATAATTACGGCCATTTCGTGTTGGAATAAAATAACGCAAGAAAAACCAACAGAAACAACAGAGGGGAAGAAGAGAAAGAACGCACTCCAGCCGTACTTTTATTACATATGATCCAGCGTTACACAGAAAGGGAATTGGAAGAAGATTACAAGTTCTTTCCCTAATCTCGAAACACTCTCTCTTTCTCTCTCTCTCTCTCTCTCTCTCTCTCTCTCTCTCTCTCTCTCTCTCTCTCTCTCTCTCTCTCTCCCCCCCTCTTCTCTCTCTCTCTCTCTCTCCCCCCTCTTCTCTCTCTCTCTCTCTCTCTCTCCCCCCTCTTCTCTCTGTCCCCTCTTCTCTCGCTATCTATCTCTTTCTTTCCCGCTCTTCACCGATCTTTCTATCTCACCCTCACCCTCACACACACACACTCACACATACACACACAAACACACTAACAAAAAAACACACAAAAAAACACACACACAATACAATGAAGGTCGGCTACTCGCTCATCGACCGCAGCAGCCCGGCCGACGGCGGAGCCCCGCCCCGCTACACAAACTCCTCCCACCACCTCCCACCCTCCACGGCCGAGGGCGCGCTGCTATTGGTCGTGGCCGTGCTGGGCGGGCTGGGCAACATCTTCGCCATGCTCGTCACCCTGCTGTGCCCCGCCTTCCGACAGATGAGCTCCGCCTTCTTGTTCCACCACTGCCTCCTGGACGCCGTCAAGTCTGGCTTCTGTCTGCCCTTCGGCTACAGTCTACTGCTCCATACGTCCATCCCGCACTGTGACGTGCTGGGAGCTGGGTATGTACGCTTGTCTTTTACTTTTTATGGCAACCCCCCCCCCCTCTTCCAGTTCATTGTTCTGCTCATGACATTAAAATTAAGTCTCGATCGTCTCCCCGTTGCCCGAACCGTCATTTTGCCTTAACGTTTCACTTTCACACAATTCGTCATTTAATATTGATAATTGCATTTATACAAAGCATCCATACATGATCTACAGCAAACTCTATGCGCTTTACAACTGTTCTATCTTTACCTTTACCCCAGCAGACCCTAAAACGCTCAGAAACATTCTCGTCTCTCCCAGTTTCCCAACCTGTTATTTCATCTCCCAGTTTCTCAACCCAGTATTTCGCCTTCCTATTTCTCACACACGCCCTCTTCCCCAGCCCACTATTGCATATCCCTATTTCTTAACCTGTCCCCGCGGTTTTATGAAAGAAAAAAAATCTGCAAGTTGAGCCAAAAAATGTGAAATTATGCGATTCTGTTAATTTTAACAAAGAACGATAAAGGAAAATAATCCGAAATTATGCACCAAAAAAATTATCAAATTTTGCTGAATTATGCGGGGTGCATAAAACCACGGGGACAGCTTAACCCACTTTCTTCGTCTTCCCGTCCGTTTCTGACACCCGTAATTACTTCTACCCTTTTCT